ACTGGCTACCTATAAAATATCAAGTAATTTTTAAATCTGCACGTTTATTTATAAGTCTCCATCGAAATTATATCCTATATACTTATCACTTCTTTTTAACTTGAGTTAAACACATTTTTGCTGAATCTGCATTTGCTTTTTATGGGCCTTTTCTTTGGAGCTCTCTACCTCCTTCTCTGACTATTTTTCCATCACTTACGAAGTTCATTGAGGAGCGCTGTTGAACATCGCGGAATTGCTCTTTAAAAACTAATTGATTGATTGAATGAGAATTTGTATTTATTCGATTACCTAAATTGAATAGAAAATTAGAAGATTATTCATTATTTTGACAATTTAAAATTTGGGACACTTTGTTTGAAGCCAAACCAACAGTAGCAGAACAAGCAACCATATTTTCATTTTTCTGTATGAAAATTCATTTTATTATCGTGAGCAATAAAGACAGGTATCGTTTTTATTAATATTAATAGAAATTTAACAAAGCTTATCGTTTAATTTAAACATTAGAGATTTTTTGATTAAATTTTTGAGGGCCTGTTAATATAATCTAGGAATATCCAATTATTAAAAATTTTTAATTCCGATTAAATTGAAAAAAATCGCTACTCTTTAAAAGATCACAGAGCTTTTATATGAATAAATAAGTGTACCAAAAATGATTCTACCTGATCATTATAGCCTAACTTTGAAATTTGTTTTCAGTTATTTAAGTTATTAGTTGACGAGTGAGAGCCAAAATTTTAAAAATGTTGAACAATTTTTGAAATTTGACGAGGAGCCGAAATGTTCGCTAGAGCGGACAAAGTTGGGCTGGCGACGACTTTTTATGATGATCACGCCAATTTTTTGTCTATTTTGTACTTAAAAACAATGTATTCCAGTCCCTAGGCCACTGTAGTGATTATTATAAACAGCTTGACATACTTACGCACGCACAGTAAAAATGTTACGAAGAGTATAGTTATAATTATTTATTTTCAGTATTTAATTAAAAACGATAATAAAAAACACACAAACAAACACGCAAAGAGTTTCTGTGATTTATAATGCAAGCTTAATTACTTACGAAAAATAATTAGGTACAACAGGCAAGCATAATCGGCTAGAAATATCTGTTAAAAAATAAAAAAAAACCAGTTTCACCTGGTCATGGAAAGGTTTCAAGGGCCAGGCAATCGCAAAGAAATACCCTAAATTGCCTTGTAACTAAACTTTGGCACACTCCATCAATTCCTACCTTCGTGGATTCATTGAAATGATAGTCGAGAACTGCGGCTTATCTTTTCAAAACGCTTTGCCAGATGTTGTAACTTCGCTGTAGCGGCTACTTCAAATTGTCATCCCCACAATAAAATCAGAAGATTTTATTTAATAAATTTTGGCATGGAAAAAACAATAACCGATCACATCTTCCCAGAAAAATGGATCTCACTGGCCTGCTTCGTGCAATGAGTTGCCACCAATTATTTATTTACTGTGCTTGGATGGAGAAAGTATTGCTTCACGGAAACCAAAAGATCTCAGTCTCTTCAGATTACAACATCAATATGCCATCTATCGATACACCATAAACGACTATCGCTGCAATCCTAGCAAGCTTGTATAAAAGTGTGTATTAAGCTATTGAGTGTTTTTTCAATTTAGTTATATAGAAATTTAGTTATATAGATTTTGTTTTAGAAAAAATTCTATATTGCCTAAAAGGTATTTACATGCGATATATTTATAAAAAGCAAACTTTTAATCATTTGATGGCACTAAGTACTACGGTATTATTTCAAAAAAATAAAATTTTAAATGTGATACTTTTTTTTGTTCCGCGCAAAAATTATTCTGATTCTATTAAAATTAATTGAGGTAGAATACGAAAAATTACTAGAATACTAAAACAAGAAACAATAAATATGGTTCTAGGAAATTAAAAGTGTGCAAAAACATCGCTCTGATCAATTCAGAGACTGTGTGCTGGTCGGATATATTTTCTCTCTTTTTAAAATTTTGTTCGTTTCAGTAAAAGTATTTTTGTTCTATCGAAATAGTTTTATATGTAAAATTTAAAAGGACATAAAAAATTCGTTATATAGAGGTTGTATAGAAGTTCGTTATAAGGAGGTCCAACTCTATATCATGCATCGGAAGTGGTCATATATTGGCAAGTGATTGCGGTTCGTGATGCTTTTTCATAACAATAAACACTTGATTAATGGATCGATATATCTATAAATAGATGAATGAATGGATTAATCGATATATAACTGGAACGAAGATTAGTTTTCAGCATAGTACATACATAAATTACAAAATTAAATCTACAAATTGAATTTATTATCATGATGCTTAACGTACAGTTAAAATGAATGTCGCTTCACAACTATATTGTAAATATAGTTACAAAAAGAAATTATTTGATTATTTCAATTAATTGATAGCTATTAGTTGCTATATTTAATTCAGAAAGTTAATCTTCAAATTACAAAAAAAAATTAAAATATTAAATGGACATGTCTTCCAGCAAACTCATTCAGGTGAAACTTGTTGTTTCAGTTCAATTCCTGTTCCAATGTATGTAGGATGGCCAAGAAGAGAACAAGCAGAATGTCCAAAATAGTTTTCATTTTTGAATAGATGTAGTTTTTTCACATTCATAATAAAATGATTATTTGATATCTAGTTTAAATAAAAGTCTCTCAGACCAATTAAATTAATTTTATGATGTCAATTCCATAGAAATCGAACATGCCATTTAAAAAAAATTATATAAATTAATACACCAAATGAATTCACCTAATTTGAAATCTTTAAAAATATTTTGATTAGTCTTTTATTTCAAAATTGATTGATGTACAATTACCATTTAATCAGTTGTGAACGTATTTAAAATCTAATGTGAGTTAGGAAAGTTATGATGTTATATATATTTATTTATATATTTAACTATTAAATGAATCCATTATGCCAATAAAATTCCTTAATCGCGGTGATGAATTAACTTAAATAAAGTCTCTCCTAGCACTCTTCGGTTCATACCTCCATACTTCGTAAATCTTACAAAAGCCTTCTTAAATATATCTTGATTTTTTATTAACATAAAAATTGTACTTAACTGCATAGCAATGGGGCTTTATTAGATAAGAAGGTAAAATAAAAAAAAGATAAGAAGATATATTTGCTTCTTTCGTTGAAATTATGCATTCATGTAAAAAAAAGTATCGTTCTTCCACATTTTATTACGAAATTTCATCGTAAATTTTAAAGTTTATTCAAATAAAATTTTGTAGCAATAAATAATTCCGGTAAGATAGCTTAAATATTAATAAAAGAATACAACATCTGAAGCCCTTTGGGGCAACTTATAAGTTAAGCCTGTGTTTCTCCAAGACTATAAATGATAGGTAGGTAAAAATTTTTCTATTTTAAAATTTCGAATTAATTAAGAAATAAAACCAACTCCTCCATTTCAAATTCCATTATGAGATATAACGAAAAAAATGAAATGAACTATCTAAATGAGTCAAGATGAAGTCAAATAATATTTAATTGAATGTTTTTTGAGTGTTGAGCAACGAACAATAAAAAATAAATATAAAAATCGTAAGGTTAGATGGCATTAGTTCAATAATAATATCATTAATTTTAAATAATTACACGCAGTTTATTAAATACATAAATATTAAATATATATTGTGAGAATTCTACTGAATTGTTGGCATTGATTAATTAATGGCAACAATTCAGTAGAATTTATACAATTTTGCTTAATCTCTTTCTTAGAATTCTTAAAACATGATCTTCAACCAGTTCGTATAAAAAAGGCACATGAACACAAATATTATATACATATGTAATATATAGGAAAATTTTGAAATATTCACCCGTGGTATATTAATAAATTAATAAAAAAATTAATTGTTGTTAATCGTTCAAAGTACCTGATGAATTTTAAAGGCTGATTCAAATATAATATGAAAATGGCCAAATGCCAAAGTTGAAGTTTTGAAAGTAAAAAATGAAAAACTTAACAATGAATTCAGAACATTTCGTCTACGAAGTTTCTAGCTGAAAAACGATTCATTTTACCCTACATCGAGAAATTTATAATAAAACAAATAAATATATAATCGAAAAACCATGAAAAAAATTTTAAATGAAAATGAATTTTCTAACTGAATTGTTACGAACATATAAACATCATAATAGAAATGAAAAAGTAATCAGACACAAATTTTGAATTTGAAAATAAAAAATTCGCTTTACCCCTGAATCAACAAAGAAAAAATTAAAAACGAAATTTAATAAAAAATTCTTCTCCACAAAAATAAATTTTAAAAAATGCTAAAGAATGCCAATAAAGTATGTAATAGCCACTTAAATTATAATTTTGATACTTATCACAACATAAATTGATTGAGCTAATAGAATATTTTTTCAAAAATATTTTTCCTTGTTATATTTTAGCACTTCCGTAATGTTGTTGTATAATCAGACGTTTATTAGGTTGCCTACTTATTGTGTATATTAGAAAAATCAAAAAGTCGTATATTACTACTGATCTGTGAAAATTAGTCAAAATTTTATATAAGTTAGTTATTTAAAGTAATGAAACTGTTAAGTAGATTAGATATCGTCTTTAAATACATATTAATTACAATAGAAACTGAAAAGTTAGGTAACATTAAATGGCATTAATAACATCACGTTATATTATATTACATTACATGATATGATCTATTTAAATTATTATGCTGAAGCTGTTGATAATGTTGATGCGGTTGCAGTTGGAAATGTGCCTGATTGAGATTGTTGAATGAGTTGATCGGTTGAGCGTATTTTGGAAGATGGGACAAGTGATGATCTTGCTGATGTAACCAGTTCATGTTACTCTGTAAGTGCTGTTGATGTCGTAACATTAACATGTGTTCATCTTTGTCGTATGCCGAGTGGTGATTGTTGTTGTAGATGATGTTCATGGAGTGATAATGATTCATGAAGTTTTGGCTCGAATCCTTCTTAAACTTCATCCTTCGGTTTTGGAACCAAATTTTTATTTGTCGTTGAGTGAGTTCGAGCCTGGAGGAAAGTTCTATTCTTTTATTTCGTGTTATGTACCTAAAAAAATGCAAATATTCAAAATTATAATTTTCATTTTTGATAAATATAAACTTATTTTTTCAACACACTCACGTATTTTTTAACAATCTAAAAATGTTATTAGCAGTTTAGTCATAAAATATCAGTTTGACACGACGCGCGCGCCTAGTGTTGTTTTGCATCTTGCCAACAAAAACTTTCTGAATAAAAAATCATTTACATTGAAGAGTTTTTATTGGAAAAAATGAAGCAATCATCACCTGTTGTAATGAAACTCTTTTTCCAACTCAAATGTCTGAAACTTGGCGTAAGTGGTCCTCAACCTCTTTTCCTTCACGGTTTCACTCGTGGTCTCCTTATCTTCGTTCATTTCAGATGCTGCATTGCCTCTCTCTCCATCTGTCGAATGGTAAATTTGTCAGACATTTTATGATTTTTGTAAAAAAAAAACCTCTAAAGTTATTAAAACAATTAAAGCAGTAAATACACGATTTTAAAATTTGAATCAAAATTATTTGATCGTGTTAATAGTTGTTTAATCTGTTTTCTATTAGCCCTAGAGATAAAGGAGTAACAGGTAATTGCGCAGCTATCAGCCGAACATCACATGAGTAATAATGAAGATTGGCTAAAAAAATTGTTCTATGTAGTTTAAAAAATTTTTTAAATATTATTGTTACTTTTGTTCTTGTTGTTGCTGTTGGCGGTAGTAGTACAGGTGGTGGTGGTGTTATGTGACTTCATCATCCAGGGATAGATCCTACCGGATTCCTTTTTTATCTCGTTCAAACTGTCTTCTGCATTTGTTGAGGATAGTAATGTTGTTGTTGTTGTTGTTGTTTTTGATGATGATGTTGTTGTTGTTGATGACGAGAAGGAAGAGGATGAGGAAAATGTTGATGACGTCGAAGAACTTGTAACAAATGTTGGCAGTGATGACGAACTATTTTGAACAATATCTGCCTGTTGAATTATTTAATTATTTATTTAAATTTATATATTTAAAGTTTAATTTTAAAATTTTAATTTCTTGTCACCAAAACATTACCATTGTCACTGCTATCATTATCAATTTAAAACATGTCTACAGATAAATATCTCAATAATTATTATCAGTTGTTATCACCTATGATGACATATACTCACTATTATTAACTATAAAGAAGTTGTATTCGTAATTATCCGTCTCAGTCCCATCAGTCTATCATTTGCCATGTTCCTAGCATCATCGCCAGATTTTACAGGTCACCATCACAATTTAGCCAGAACATCATCAGCACCAGCATTGTTGCATATGTAAATTATTTACTTCTCAGTTGATGACTTGTATATTTCATACACAACTAATTTTTTTAACATATTAAAGCTGAACATAGCTGAAATTTAAAGCTGAATTTTAATTCTGAACATAGCTGAACTTTAAATAAAATATTATAACCTGTAACATCTCCTTCCAAATTGCGTTATGTGGTGGCTCTCCAAAACCTGCCATGTTTACTTTGCCGCTTTTTTCAACTTTGATAGTTGGGTCTACATTGTTGTGTGGTGCAACTCCTCTGATGCTGTTGTTCCTGCTTTTTTCTAATTCGATCTTTTCAAGGATGTTGTTCACAGTTTTGTTAATTTCTAACTGGGAATTGTTTTCTCTGTTCGCTGCGTTCAATTTTTTGTTAATTGGAGAGTTGTAGTCGTTTGTTCGTTTGCAGAAGTTCTCCAAATTGTTCATGACGTTGGAAGGTGTCGGTAGAAACGAGGGGGGTGATATGAAGGAGGATGTTGATGGTGACGATGTTGACGATGATGAAGCTGCTGATGATGAAAATGCCTGAGATGATGTCGATGGTGAGTTTGATGATGAGAAGAAAGATGACGACGACGACGATGAAAATGATGATGATGAAGATGATGTTGGCTGATTCCTGAAAGGAGGACAAATGTGTGTTTGATTGTTGGATAGACAAATGTAAGAATAGTCGCTTTCATCTGTTGGCACCACGTTGTCCTGATGCTGATGTTGATGTTTTTTAGAGGTGATATAATAAGCTGCATTGTTATTGTAAGGACTGTAAATGTTATCATTATAATCATTTGAGTTGATCACATCACTTGGAATGAAGTTATTGTTATAATCTGTGATGTTATTGCAAAAGTTATTATTTAAGACAAAGTCATTTGTTTGATGAAAAATTCTGTGTGTGTCGGCATTGTTATAATGAGGGTACCTGTTGAATGGTGAGGATGAGGGTGGAGAGAGAAACTGCGACCAACACGATGTTGGTGTTGAATTATATTTATCATTGAGATAGCCTTCATTCACGTCGTAACAAACTTTATTTTCATAAAAATCTTTATAAATGTCAACAAAATCTTCTTCGGCTTCATGATAAATATTTTCAACATCTTTCTGAGAATTCGATCCAAACGTTTGATAACAGCATGATTGTTGTGGCTGAGCTGAACCACATGAATGCGTGTTTTGCTGACACTGTGAGAGGTACGTTGAGTCTTTATAATCGTCATTAACTGAAGAAACATTTTTATTGCAAGCCACATCATTATTTAAAAATGTTTCAATATTTAAGATTCCATTGTATGCATCTTCACTTGCTGAATTAGCATTTGCCTCACTGCTGATGTTATCAGCAGTTTTGATGTTTCTATTAAAACTGAGGTTGTTGTTGTTATTGCTAATCACATTATTATAATTAATGTTACTGTCATTGTTGCTGCTAGTACTGAAGTTGCTGTTGTTGAGTATTCCATGTCTTGCGCTGTTTCTACTGGAAGAATCAACCGCTGTCACGAAAGATGCAGCGACACAACTCGGTACGATCATCGCGTGCTCTTATTATTCTAAATTAAATTTAAAAAATTATTATTTACTTGTGGCAATAAATATAAAAAAAACATTTAAAAAAATGAATGAATTAAATTATAAAAATTTAATTGATTGCAAATTTCTGATCGCTAACGTATCAACAGCTAACAATACCAGTCAGATTGTGAGCAGTTTATTGAATCAACAGTTTAAAAATTAAGAGTCTACATGCACATATATATTGAGACTTTAATTTTTATTTCATCGTCTCCATTTTTTGAAATTATTTTTGATTGGTCGAAATAAATATTTCACATCAACCAATTGCATGAAATCGTGATAACCCCGCCCACAATTTTATATTTCAAGTGTGGTTTGTCTCTCTCTCTTCTCTTCTCTTCCCTCTCTTTCTCTCTCCGTGTGTGTGTGTGTGTGTGCGACGAATTCACACGCACGTTCTGATAGCATACTAAAAATTTCATCAGTAAAAATATAACTTTTTTGCATTTTTGGTTACTTCATTTATTAATTTACCACAATTTTTAAATAATAAATCGACCGATTTATTTTTGGCAATTTAATTCAAGATGTCCCATTGATTATAAAAAATAAAATGATTTTTATTTCAATTCGCCTTTTCATAAGATTATTCAACCCTCTCAAATTGGGTGGGACAGTCCCGAATTTTGACCTCCATGTACCGCGTCCCGCTTTGGTGTCCACGGGACGCATACTTGTCTCGCTTTTAACGAAACCAATACAAATATTTAAAAAATGAATCAGCAATTTAATAACAAATTAAAAAAAGCCATGAACGCCATTTTTTTATGTTTCTGAGACAAATTCATGAATAATAAAACAATTTTTTAACTTCAAAGCGACGTGAGTGATGGTTATGTTACTAACAACAAGCATCTTTTTTCTGGATCTAATTGTACAAAAAACATCAAAGCACTGTTACAACTGTATTTGTATAGATGTATACTGGAAGGAGACAATTTTTAACACGCTATTGTTATGAATTCTATGAATTGTTGAAATAATGTCAACCATTCGGTAGAATTTATAAATTATTGTATTAACACACACACATTTGGCTTGCTTTTAAAAATCCAATTTTGGCATGTATGTTCAAAAATTAACCAGCTCATTTCGCATTACAATATCAAATTTTATACATTTTAAAAGAAGTTTTTAAATACCACTCTTCCGACTTTTTTCAACAATTTTTAACATTTTTTTCAATAACTTTTTTTCATTACATTTTTTTGGCATGTTCTGCAAAACCAATCTCTCCGTAGGTCACTATGATTTTTGAAAAAAAGAAAAAATAAATTTACAAGTCAATAATTATATTTTTTCTAATATATTATTTTATTTCGTAACATTCTTGATATGCTAAAAACACTAGTGCTTAATTTCTCTCCTTTATTGAGCATTATAAAAACTTTACTTTCAATTTCATCTTATCATGACCACAACCTAAATAAAAAATAAAATATAAATGTGAATAAATGTATTTTGGGTCACCAGTATCAAGTAGATACTTGAAATCATTAATTAATGAATTAATTGGTAAAAAATATTATTAAACTCAAGCCACACAATGGTGGAAAAACTGTTTGAGGTGTTTTGTTCAAAAAGTTTCTGACAGAATTTCTTAAATATAGCTGGTTGACTGAACATTGAGATTAAAAATTCGTAAAGCGTAAAATACGTATTACATTGACTAAATTATTATGGTACCTAAGATATTTGTTAAGGATATTTTAATTCTTTTTGTAAAAATTTCATGTTAATTTTTTTTCTCACAATTAAATAAATGAATTAATAAATAAGATTATACATTATTCATTTGTTTTAAACTTTTATACAATTGTTATTTTTGATAAATTTCAAAAAAACTTCAGACTAAAAATTATTTTTTGAAATTAAGTATAATCGTCTTACTGTGTGTGTATTCAAACGAATGTTTATATATATTCAGATGATATGTGTTTCTAAATTGACTAACAAAGGCCTCTGTAAATACTTCAAACACACGCTGAAACTCAAAAATAAATGAATATAACTAATTCATTAAATTACGGTCACCGCTAATTTAAAGAATTTTAATATTTTATTTAAATCATCGTTTTCTCACCTTTTATCAAAATTAAATCACCGTTAATATTTTTAAAACTCAATTTTGGTTAACTTCATAAATACTATTTTGTCGTTTATTTCAAATATATCTTAGTTTAAAAAAATAATTTTTATAACTTTTTTTAAAGTTAACCAGTGGTAGAAGCAGAATGTTTAAATGCATATCATTTATAAATGTTTAATTTTTTAATAATGTGGTTGTCATCATTTACTTCCTATACATGAGTTTTTTGTCATTTCTCTAAGTGCTATCGGTTCACAATATATATATGCTTGTTTGAATTTCAAATTCTATATTTTTTAATTTATTTTAATAGGATATAGGTATATTATTTTCAGTAAATGACACCAAAACTATGTAGGCCGCTTGAAAC